AACAGATTTATACAAATCTATCATCATCCCCTGTACAGATTTATACAATTCATCAGCATCCCCTGTACAGATTTATACAAATCCAGCATCATTCCCTGTACAGCTTTATACAAATCTATCATCATCTCCTGTACAGATTTATACAAATCCAGCATCATTCCCTGTACAGATTTATACAAATCCAGCATCATCCCCTGTACAGATTTATACAAATCTATCATCATCCCCTGTACAGATTTATACAAATCCAGCATTATCCCCTAAAACAGATTTATACAAATGCAGCATCATCCTTCAAAACAGATTTATACAAATCCAGCATCATCTCCTGTACAGATTGATACAAATCCAGCATCATCTCCTGTACAGATTTATACAAATCCAGCATCATACCCTAAAACAGATTTATACGAATCCAGCATCATCCCCTGTACAGATTTATACAAATCCAGCATCATACCCTGTACAAATTTATACAAATCCAGCATCATCCCCTGTACAGATTTATACAAATACTGCATCATCCCCTAAACCAGATTTATACAAATCTATCATCATCCCCTGTACAGATTTATACAAATCTATCATCATCCCCTAAAACAGATTTATACAAATGCAGCATCATCCCCTGTACAGAATTATATACAGTTTTCATTCACTTATACCACATCATCTACATTGCAAATTGGAAAAAAACAATGCTAGCATAACCATACTTATTATATAGTACGTCACATTATAAACTGAACCTCGAAAAAAGTACTTCACTGGGGGGAAAATGTTGTTGAAATCTGTCTTGTTGAAGCCTCGTACAAAGAGGTGAAACTAGTCGGCCAATAAAGATATGTACCAACTTACTGGTGACATTTGAGCATGTTGTGAATTATTCTTCCTGTTAAAAATCATGTAAATGTTTGATGTACATTGTCCCTTGATGAGCCCTCGATTTGGTCAATAAAATCTCGTATCTTTTACCTTTAATTGTACCTAAAATTGAAAGTAAATTCCCAGCAGGCACACAATGTTTATTCAACGTTATGCTGGATTGTTATTTGGTTGTGACGTTGATAAACGCTATTTTTTCAACGTTGAAATGTTGTTGTAATATGACTTTTAAACAACGTTGATTAATTGGATTTTTTTCAACCTTATTGACATTGTTGAATCTCAGCATTGAATCAACATTGATTCAACGACCTGTTTTCAATTGTTAATGATATCTTGTATTTCATATTTGGTTATTTTATATAGAAACATCACGATTATCATTGTCATTGGTTAAAAAAAATTGAAAGTATCGGAACTTTGCACGCATTATCTACTGGGGGATTTAAAATCACTATGTTGAATGTTTATTTCATAGGGAGTTTAATTTAACTTATTACTCTTACATGTACCTTATAATGTTACATGATTTACAATTTTGTGATTTATTTCATGTCTGCCTATGTGGACTAATTAGCTCCCTTGCTCTATGTGATTCGCCGCCTGGTGGAACTATTGTTGCTTATGCATCATTTACTCTATATATATCTTTTTGAAAACATAAGCCATCGCGGGCCATACAAAATTGGAAGTAGAACATAAACCCATATAAACCTAACATGCAACTGCAGATGATTGCAATGAAGCGCTGCATTACAGTAAAAGGTACCGGTAAGTGAAATAGGATGTCTTGATTATTCAATTATGTGATATAGAAGTGCATGTGTTCTATCTGTAAGAATATATTAATGTAAGATGATCTCCCGATCCCGGACTTTCAGAGTTTAAAGTAATTTCAAATGTGATGCAAATTTAAAACCTGAAGGTCCCGACATTGAAAGGCTGATTCACACTTGCATAACCAATATGAATCAGCATTTAAATGCAGTTTAAGGATGTACACCTCTGAGAAGTCAAAAAATTCCTGTATTAAACTTTTTTTCTTATATTGATTTTTGGAAAAAGGAGAGAATGGCATAGTAAAAAATGCAAAAACATATATATGTCTGTGTGTTCATTTTTGTACTATGATCGGTCAAAGATACCAATTTAACACAATAGGTGCATGATTTTAGGTGAATTTTCGGGTTTTGACCATTTGCAGAACAAATTCATACAATTTCTTCCAAGTGTGTTATCAGATATGTATGAATGTTTGTAGAATTGATAAAAATATTATTTTCTTTAAAAATATAGAAGTAAAATTACTCAATCTTATTCATTTTACTCCGAAATGCGATTTTAGTTACCCCTACCCCTTATTTTTTAATGAAAAATGCACTTTTTTTCACCATTTTTTGCAGATTAAACGCTTGATATAAAAAAATCCTGTATTAACTTTTTTTGGTATTCAATGAATCAAAAGAAAATGTGTTTCTCTTTCTAAAACCGCCACAAAAATGGGGGGTCGGTGTGCTTCTTTTTTTGTCCCATTATTATTTGTGTTATTTTTCACCTTTTTCAGTGTCAAAAATCAAAAGTGCTTCAGTTACCCTAATATGTAAAAAAAATACCAATAATATATAACTTTCCACTTTTTTGCATATTATTTTAATCATATTGAACATTATAAAGTTGTACAACAAAATTGAACCTGCTACATTTAAAAATGGTGACACAATGACAATTTAAGTGATTAACATAGTGTCAAATAAGGTGAAATTTTACCCTTTGTGAAGCGCAAGAAATTCACATACCAGTAAATACACTTTTTCAAAATGGCTGCCAAATTGGTCATTTTTTTCAAATTTTAGTAAAAAAAAATGTACACACAACAGACATCTAGTTTTTTGACATGTTTTTCAGATGTGTGTTTGCTATTAAACCTATCATAATTTGATAAATAGTACAAAAACCCATTACACCAGATCAAAACGAGACTTGAACATGACTGAAACCTCAGAAGAGTACATCCTTAATATGTCATATATTTGAAGCACAATGTGTATAAAGTTGCTAAGGCAAACGGAGAGTGAAACTCCTTTGCACATGTGTATAAAAACTCGCTGTTATCTCTGCAATCCTAAACTGGGTCGTGCAACTGTTAGCAAGATACACGTCAGTGTGTAGCAACTGTTAGCAAGATACACGTCAGTGTGTAGCAACTGTTAGCAAGATACACGTCAGTGTGTAGCAACTGTTAGCAAGATACACGTCAGTGTGTAGCAACTGTTAGCAAGATACACGTCAGTGTGTAGCAACTGTTAGCAAGATACACGTCAGTGTGTAGCAACTGTTAGCAAGATACACGTCAGTGTGTAGCAACTGTTAGCAAGATACACGTCAGTGTGTAGCAACTGTTAGCAAGATACACGTCAGTGTGTAGCAACTGTTAGCAAGATACACGTCAGTGTGTAGCAACTGTTAGCAAGATACACGTCAGTGTGTAGCAACTGTTAGCAAGATACACGTCAGTGTGTAGCAACTGTTAGCAAGATACACGTCAGTGTGTAGTAACTGTTAGTAAGATACACGTCAGTGTGTAGCAACTGCGTTTGCAACCACGTGTTTAAATGCACACAAAGAAGACCTAGTCTTGGTCACTTTCTTTCCGTGTTCTTATTTATGAAAGACCTTATAGAAAGGAGTTGGAGGTACCTCTATAAGGTCATTTTATTGCTATAATATTTTTCTTATTAATGTATATTTTTCTATTTATCTATTCTAAATTGGCCATTTTAAATACGTTTTTATAAGAACAAATGATGTGGAAAATGTTTTACCAGTTATCATTGTAATTAATTTATATAATAATAATAATGATATAATTTATATCTTTTGCAGAAGCTGTCCAACTGCCACTTGTATGTAGGTGCTGCATTCCAAGACTTAGATATCCCAAACCTGATATATAACCCGGATAAACATGATGAAGATGGGTCACAAGCTGCTGATTAGGTTGTTTAGAGAAATAAAATGTTACTCACAAAACAGTGTACTGTTGTCTATTTCTTTGTTATTTTATGTTACCAGTTGCCGGAATTTCCTCTTACTCTGACATCGGACTAAGACGGTTTGACAGACAGATGTCCCTTACCAGGCATCTGCTTGTCTAAGTCTGGTGTATAGAAACCTTGGGCTATGCTACCAGTTGAGTTGTCAGAAAGAAGGTTGAATGGTTATGTACAATTCAATGTTAAATCGATGAATAAAATAGACGCTTATTCAATGTTTATTCAACGTCGAGCTTCAACGTTGCATTTTTGTACGTTGTTTCAGCTCTCATAATCAAATATAAATAAATGTTTAAACAACGTTGAGCTTCAACGTTGAAGTACTGGCAAATAATAGGGAGTTTATGGGGCATCCCAGTTAGCAGTGATGGTTTGATTATAACAGCCTAAGGGGAAGGCGTCCCATTGCACTATTGTTAGGGGGAGTACAAGCTAATAAACACACTTTTGAATGATGTGTGGATAAATCCCACTTATACAAACAATCAATCGTACTGTAATAGTATATTCAGGAAGGAGACAAAGTGAAACTAAAAGTTGACATGTGACTTGAGACGCACCTACATGTATGTATGTGAGGTCACTTTTGAGGATAATCAACAAGCCTGCTATGTATGTTATTTGTATAAATTACATCTTACCAAGTATGAGGAGAACATTCCTCGACTGTACCTGCAATATTAATGTACATAACACAAGGAAAACAATGAACTTCACATCTGCTGGCACCATCTTGGTCTAATCTTCCCAGATGGAAAAACCTCGAGGAGTCCAAAACAACATTTTCGAGACCCTTCTTACTTAACTTCCTGTTTACATCACGTGACGGTATATTGTGGCATCGCCTCTCACCGCATGTGATGCGTGTAAGTAGGCTTCTTGCTACGTATACCTGCATCTCTCAGCTGTGACTGATGACCGTGTCATCAGTACAAAACAGGTAAATATTCGTACTGATGATAGGATGAGGGTTTCCACTACCTTCAAGGTTAAAGAGCTATTATCACACCGTAATTGAATTGCCTGACATAAACCTCAATAAGTCATCTTTGATCAGTGGTGACAAGGGTCACTCAGGATTAAATGACTTAATGTAGATCACATGGTTTTGGATATATATCTTTATTTACTTAGTAGTAAATGACAAGCTCCCCATTAGATGTCCATATTTGCTTAAAGTGGTATACAAATACACAGTCGTTACAGTGTTGGTCTTAAATGTCACTGATAATCCTTGTTAAACTCGGGGAAATTGAAAACTGGAAACTATATGTGTACCAGTTGAATCAGGGGTCGGTCCTTTAACTGAGTTTGTTCCTACCAGGTATATTAAATCAACAACATGCCCCTCCGTCCAACATTTCAGTTTGGTTAGTTAGGTTGTTTGCTGCATGAAGAAACTATTGTGTTACATTTATGATTGCTTTCTCTTCAAATGAAACATCGATCTAGCATTGATCTTGCAAAATTATCTTGATAAACTATATAAATAAGCTAGCAGATTGAAAAATAAAGGTGGAAATTGGAATTACAACCCCAAAAAGTTATTATTCTTTTCATCACCAAAAACAATTAAACTCCTGTCAAAAATAATTATGCATATAAGTCACTAAACCTTTAAAAGTCAGACCATTTAGCCACATACATGTATTGGTGTGTAACAATTCAACAAGATCTTAAATGACATTTCTACATTACCATGTACATACATTTATAACTAATTACTATATACAAAGCAAATAAAACATCGGCTTTGTTCAGCGTAATTTAAAAATAAGTTCCAAATGATCAAAGAACATCAGCAATAAATCCCTAGTGCATCCATCTCTAGTAATAAGAATATGCTAGTTCTGTGTGGGATCCATATCAAAAAGTTAATATGCATAAAGTTGATATGATACAGCATAGAGCTGCAAGATAATTTTGTCACTAAAATCACTTTAAAACACCTTACGGGTTATAGTGACATGTCACATTAACATCTTAACTGGCCACCGCCCCTGATAGACTGAAAGGACACCCATCTCCTTTTGATGTACAAAATAGCATACCACAAAGTTTCCAGAAATAAAAACCTCTTCAAATGTACTTTACACCACAGTTAATTTATTACTGTACTAAACCTATATTGATATATGGTGTATATATGATCATTACACCTGTACAGGTAACAATCCCATATTAAACATTATCATGTATGTGGCTAACCTACATTTTCTGTAGGGATACTATATTTGTTTATAAATCCCTGGACAAATATAAGTTTTTCGAGTCATTTATATTTGTTGCACTGGTAAGGCATTAATACTTTTGAGGCTTCAGTTGCAGCTAATAGAAAACTTAGACTGAGAACTTAGAAGTAAGCTCAATTTCAAAATGTCCTCTACAGTTTAAGTATACTTTGAATGTATCTAGTGTAAACATACATGTTATTGTCACTGAAGCATGAAAATTGATGTCAACAATCTGGTCGGATAAAAAACTTTTTCACAAACCATAAAGAAATGTTATATACAGTTTCACATACTTATTTAAGGGTTGAGTTGTCGACATTGCTTTTTATACCCCTGCCACTTTATGGGGGCATATTTAGTGTTACCAATGTCCATCCTGTCCTGTTCTGTCCTGTCCCATACTATTCCATCAATTTAAGTTGCGTTCCCTCCCGCTCAACCCCTAGTTCAGACTTGTCATCACTCTAGTAGCCTCTTCTGAATAACCAAAATGCCTAGAGCAATGATATTTGGCCAGTAGGTACCTAGGGCAAAGTGCTATGAAGTTACCTCAAATAAATGACCTTGGTCTACTTTCAAGGTCACAGGGATCAAATGTGTGAAAACCTTTAAACAACTTCTTCAGAATAACCAGGAGGCCCAGAGTAATGATATTTGGCCAGTAGGTACCTGGGGCAGAGTGCTATAAAGTAACTCAAATAAATGACCTTGGTCTACTTTCAAGGTCACAGGGATCAAATATGTGAAAACCTTTAAACAGCTTCTTCAGAACAACCAGGAGGCCCAGAGTAATGATACTTGGCAAGTAGATAACTTGGACAGAGTGATATGAAGTTTCCTAAAATAAATGACCTTGACCTACCTTCACAGTAACAGGGGTTAAATATGTGAATACTTCTTCCACAATACCAGGAGGCCCTGGGTGATGATATTTGACCATTAGCATGCTGGGATAGAGAGGTATAAAGTTTCATTTAGTCAGGAACATTCTTAAGCCAAGGAGACTCAATGTATTGAAATATTTGCAAAAGTGTTTTTATTGAGAATATTTCCCCATGAAAGCTCAAATATCTATGTGAGCAATACAGGCCCTCTGGGCCTCTTGCTTCAGTCACACCTCCACTGACAGTAGTCTGGCATGTTTGTAAACAAAAGCAAATGTGGTGTATGAATACATCGCTATTCACTTTTTATGATGTCACAATCACCACTCACTTTCTATGTTGTCACAATTTAGTGTGTGCTATTCTGTGCAGGATATCACCCTAAAAAGTGAATAGCGATTGTGATGTCATAAATAATGAATGGCGAATATTCATAGGCAAAGGTTTTTGTTTACAAATATGACTAGTGCCGGTAGAGTTATGACTGAAATAATCAGATGGGAGAAAATAATCATCCCCTACCTTGAATGTGAAACAGAGAAATCTCCAACCCTCAGGATGATAATTTGGTTGTCTAACCCTTGGCAGAGCCTCGGGTTGGACAACCAAATAAATTACCTCTTTGGTCAGGAATTTCCCCATCACGCTTCGAGGTTTGGAATGATTCTATTAGTCTTTCCTGGCTAAAACCGGAAGCACACCTGTGAAGGATGGGAGATGCATACAATACACCAATGAATAGCCACAGATACAATGTAGTTTGTTAAGGCATACACTTCCAGGTCACCACCTGTAAATATTTGTGGTTAATAGGAATCCCCAGGAAATGTTATTTAATGATTGTATAAAGAGATACTGGCAAGTTGTAGAAACTGATTTGAATGCAAAACCTCAACATCGTGTCAAATTGGGGGTTAAAAATATCTTTGAGGGATTGTACAAGTGCTAACTTCAAGGAAGTGATATCCGACCCAAATGTATTATGACATGTGGTCCAGATAGGTGAAAATTATCAATACTAAATGTTTCTGCCACTTTTATATATTTATAACTACGTCTGGCATCTAGCTGTCTTACACGAGGAAATTCAAAGGATATAATCTTATTTATTAACAACATGTGCAGGTGTAGACAGAAGTTACTGAACTGTTCACACATTGGATGATACAGCTACACTGCATAACAGTAACAAAAAAACTACAAATTTGGAGGACCAGGAAACCTTGTTATTTAAAGCATTGCTGTGAAGCATGATAGGTCATTTTCTGACCAAAGGGGAGATATTTAGAACTGCTAATCTGAATTCTATTTCACATCAAGGTTCTGTTAAAAACTGTATTTAGGGTATTTTCTGGCATTTTGGTATAGTAAATTATCCAGATTAAGAAAAAAGCTAGATTTTGAAATAATTAAAATAAAGAACTTTTTAAGGTAATTTACAACTTTAGAAATTTCCAGAAAAAGTAAATTAGCAGAAAATGAAAGAAAAATATGAAGAATTATATATACATTAACTTTGTTTTACAGCAATTATGAAACAAGTCATGTCAACTTATATTAATCACTGTTGTTGGCCCGGATATCAGCGCGCGCGGGTCTTAATATGATGGGAAACTGGAGTACCCAGAGAAAACCCAAGTGGTCGGGCAGGTGACCTCATACCTTTTCACATCTGATCAGGGAATCAAACCCCGGCCAACTTGGTGAAAGACAAGAGCTTTATCCACTGTGCCACCCGACCACCCATGAAGAATTGTTTCTAAAGGTTATAGCTAGGTGGCACATTGGAAGGTTGTTTGGCTGGTAGGAACTCATAGCTGATCATATTCAATATACTGACTGGCAGTGTTTCAGCAATAAATTATGTAACTACGCTTTGAAGTATGTGGGTCATTTCTGATAGCACAACATGTGACAGTTGATATCTTGCTCCTCTTCGTCAGATTATATGCTGTTACTCCGAGTCATGTGATGACCAATCATCATCTGATGATGAATATTAAAGGTTTGATTGAAACTTTATAAATTGTTGAACTGTTAAGACGAAGATACACAGAACGTTTTTAGCTCACCTTGCCCAAAGGGCCAAGCGATCCAACGCTGTAGTGTGGTTTCTGCTTCTGTCCAGCGTCAACGTTTTACTTTAAACAACTTCTTCTGAATAACCAAGAGGCCTAAGGTGATGATATTTGGCCAGTAGTGGGATGAAGGACTACCAAGTTTGTTCAAATGAATGACCTTTGCCCATTTACAAGGTCACAGGGGTTAAATATGATAAAATCTTTAAACAACTTCTTCTGAATAACAAGAAGGCCAGGGATGATGATATTTGGCCAATAACATACAGGGATGAATGGCTTCCAAATTTGTTCAAATAAGTGACCTTGAATTATGTTCAAGGTCACAGAGGGCCCAGGGTGATGAAATTTGGCCAGTAACAAGGTGGCATAAAGGGTTACCAAATTTGTTCAAATTAATGACCTTGACCTATACTCAAGGTCACATGGGTCAATTATGTTTAAAACCTTTCAGGTGGCTCCACACATCGTCATCAGCGTCCATTTTCGTGACGTACTTCCGGAAAAAGTACAGCTCGGACTCAATTACCTTGATCAAAATGTGCATGTACACCGTGTCCTCATTTCTGTATTGCGTATTGGACATTCAATATCGTAGTGCAAATTATAGTAACACCTGGGCCATTTTCGTTTAAACGGTCAAACGATCGGACCACTGTTGTTCGTTTATTAAATAAGGTCGGACCTAGTAATCTGATGCTGCTTTCAGGGGAGTCTTAAGAAAGCCTTGTAAGGCCTGCATAC